CTTCTGCTACCCCATCAGGATAGCTGATGACTCTACCACCAGCCCTGACACAGTCCACTGCTGAGAATGAGGGCTGCCATGCACCTACCACCAGCCCTGACATAGTCCACTGCTGAGAATGAGGGCTGCCATGCAGTTAACACTGAAACTGTAAGCACCAGGACCAGTCAGTGAGATGCAATCAACCCAGTGACAGCAATTCCTGGATTTGGGGTGTCCCAAGAACTTGCCTAAAGAGGGGTCCAGAGAGTGCCCCTACACTGAATAAGATGTGTGTCATGGCCCGTCACTTACCTTGGGGTATTTCCACAGGTGCATGCCCAGTTTCAGTAGCATTGCCACGCATTCGCCAATGATGCTTTCAAGAGGCTCTTCACGTGATGTGTCATAGCCCAGGTGCCTTCCCGGTACATTCAGCACCTTGTAATTCCACTGTTGAAAGAGCCTGGAGGGGATATTATGGGACACCACCAGGATCTTGGGATCCAGGACGAGGGCCCTGGGACAGGTTGGGAGAGAAGAACTCAAAAGCAGGCACAGAGAGGACGCATTTCCCACTTCTACTGGGAACAAGGAAGGAGCACACTCTACCAGCTGGCTTTGCCAACATGCAAACATGGCACCATGCAAATGATGCTGTTGTGGCTATTTGCACAGCCCTTAGCCTGCCCTGCAGGGTAGATGGAGGTACCTGGGTTTTGTGTGCCAATGTTGCGTAGGTACCTACATTTAGGGTTCCTCTGATTCTGTCCAAAATATTGAGTTTTGCAATGAAAAATGAGGGGGTTTAGTTTCCATTAGAATTTTGTGTGCAGAAAAAACATCTTTCAGTCAGCTCCAGTGCCAACAATATTCAGCAGCTGGTTTTAGTCAGGACTCCTCCTCATCCTCTTGTGATCTATTAGGGAGCCAAAGAGCTCAGCCACCTCATCACCCTGGCAGGAGAAAGGTGCAAACCCTTTCCTTCCTCGTTTCACCTACAGAGGACATCAGAGAGCTCTTGTGTGCAGCAAGCTTTCAGCTGGGAACCTGCTGGCCCAGCAGATCATTGCTGAGACCTGCTCCCCAGCTGGTTTGGGAATGCCCAGTATTGCTGAAACCTGAACCAGTGTGTCCCCAGTTGCAGGAGCCATTCCTCTAAGTCAGGGGTGTCCCAGGCTCAGTTCCCATGAACCATCCAACCAGGATCATCCTTGTCCCTCGCTCCCAAGGGAATGTGGTGACATGCTGAATGTAGGCATTTGAAGACCCTCAGTCTAATGGCTGAAGAGACCTCACCTCTGCCCATGCTGGTGCATGTCTCTGAGGTCCCGCAGGATGGAGTAAAGCACATCACTGGAGGACTAAAAGAGAACTTGTTAGTGTCTCAAACACACCTGGTCCTGTTGGACCCATCGCTCCTGGTGCAACACCAGGAATGCTCCCTCAGAGCCCAGGGCTTTGAGCCTTGGCTTTGCTGTGGATGGCTCCAGCAAAGGTGCCCAAGCTTTGAGCACAGTTCTGGCTGACCCTTCCACCAGCTACCACCAGGCCTGGGGGGAAGAAGGAATTCAGGGCATCATGACACAGAGACCAGCTCCAAGAGGGATGGTCCAGGCCTTTTCAGATTCCTGAGGAAGGGGCCATGGTGGGGATGGGTGGAGGTATGTGTGAAGGACTCTCGGGCTGGAGCTGGGCAGGGAATGGAGAAGAGCACTGAGGGTGTAGGATAGGGCCTTAGATCCCAGGGTCACCACCCTACACCGCCGCATCCCAGGGGCAGGGCCAGAAAGGGTGGGGGGGGAGGCAGCAGCTCCCCTCTGCGAGCTGCACAGGTGCCACTGGCTGGCCAGATTTGGGGGGAAGCTCACATGTGGCAGCCACTGCTGAAACCCACCGCCCCATGCCACAATGTGCAAGCCCCCCCACTCTGCGTCTGGCTGCCATCCTCCCACCACCAACTCCATGTCCACCCGCCGCCACCACAAGGGGTACACTCCTTAAAAAAGGTTGAAAACCCCTGTAGTAGAAGGTTAAGGCAGATGTGCACAGCACCCTAGGCACGGGGAACAGAGCTGACCATGGCCCTTTGCCATTCCCAGAGAAGTCCTAGCTGGGTGACTCCTCAGGGACATGCCCTATGTCTGTCCCTTTCTCCCACTTGTTTAATAATTCCTGTCTATCTGCATGGCACTGGTTGCCAAAGCCATAATGCCAACAGTTACCAAGGCCACCCCATGGGCCAAGTCCCTGAGATGTCTGTGCCCTGTGCCCTGAGTGTTCTTGGTATTCCTGGGGTTTTTTCCCAGGAGTTGTATATATGTATGCCAGTATGACATGGGCATTTGGGAAATCTTTGAGTAAATCACTGTGAACAAAGGGGACTGGGCTTGATGGCCCTTAATGCTCTTCCGGGCATATGTTCCTAAATGGCTAGACTTACTGAGTATTCCCTGTCCACACCAGGTACCAGTGGTAGGGCTGACTGTCCCCAAGAGCACCACGTTCTGACAGTTATATGGACCTCTCTGCTCTGGGCCAAGTCCTGACAGTGACCAAGACTGCAATCCATATTGCCCGCCAGCAATTACCACGTCTTGTTAATCCCATGCATACCTCCACGGTGTGGACAACGTAGGTTGGGTAGAGCAGCAAAAGGCCTGTAACACCTTCCCCGTGGTAGTAGCGCTGCAGACTCAGGAACAGGCGCTCCCAGTACTCTGCAGAGACCGCATCCCAGTGTTGGCTGGCTGAGCAGACCCCCCCTCCCCCAGCATAACCAGACAGCACCTCCTTCCCCACCCAACAGCAGCCCAACCCCCTTCTCCGGTCTTCAGGGAGGAGTGCCCCAGGTGTCCCTGCCGCCCCCTGTCCTCCCACATCCTATTTGGAGAACGGGGAGGAGAGAGGACCATTCTTTGGCACAGTGATCTCTTCTGGTCAGTGTGGGAACTTGCAGGCACCTGATGGGAAGTTCATGAGCAGAGGAGGCAAGTCTTTCATTTTGGTTTTGAAATCATGCTGAAATCAGGAGGGGAAGAGTCTTTCATTTTGAACTGACTCAACAGAAATACTTTCACTTGTTTTGGTAAAGTGAAAAAAATGTAGGAACTATTATTTCAGCGGAACAGTTCCCTGCCAACACAGGGGACTGACTCTATGGCCCAGGAAGTCCTTTCCAGTCCTAATATATTCCTTTAGAAGGTGATTTTTTTTGTGGGGTGGAAAGCTGGAAAGGGGAAGGGGCAAAAAGCCTGAGAAGGTGACCTGGGGGAGCCCTGCAGCTCAGGGATTACGTCCTTTGAACCCCAGTGACTCCAGTACTACTGCTCTAGGGTGGGCAATCCTCACTGCTGTCATGCCAGCGTGGCTGTGCTGGGACAAGGGAGGTATCTGCAGACCCCTTCCAGCTCTAGGAGGTAGGAGCCTTTGCCAAAGCAGCCCCACACTGCTTGCAGAGTGTGGGCAGTAGTCGGGAGAGGGAGTGCCCCCAGCAGCCGATCCAAATAGCTGCGTGTTTTGTTGCCACCTGGTCCATTACTCACCATACCAGAACCAGGCAGAGCTGGCCAGACATTTCCAAGAAATTCAAGCTTTGAGGCTATATGGTATGTTGTGTGTTAAATGTTTGGTGTCTGTCCTGTGGACCAATGTCTACTGGAAAAACAAGACAGAATCTTTACCTGCTAAATTCCTCTTGTCAGCCAGGTCTGGGGAGATCTTAGCCAGAAATATCAGCCTGTGGAGAAGAGATTTCTAGATGGAAAGAGAAAAAGGCCAATTGGGATTGGCCAGAAAGGGAAGGTTACTGAAATGGTCATCCGTTTGGGGCCGCGACATTTGTTCTGTTCTATGTCTGTACAAAACCTAGCACAGTAGGGTCCTGGGCCGCGAGTGGGACTCCTAGCTGTCATAACACCGATAAGTATTAATTACCATATATCAACATGAGGCCCCAAGCCTGACACACAGGGGTGGCTGGACTTTGTGCCACCCCTGACGTTTTTAATGTAACACATTAGCCTTCCAGGAATCACAGCACTGGGTGTATCTGCTGGATGGGCCGGCATACTCCCACATGGATCATGCATACCTGATTTGCTTTTCCAGGGTTCATTCTGTGCATAAACACACACCTCATGAGCACTGAGAGGACACACCAAAAACAGGATCATTGGGTGCTGTATTATTGTCCTTTCAATGTTGAGGGACAGGATCTTACAAATGAGTGCACACCCCTACTCCTCTCCAGTTCATGCATCTACCTCTCAGTTGCCCAAGGAGAAAAGAGACCAAGGTGCCAGCTTCTATTCCACCTGTTAGAGGCCTATGAGCACTTAGGTGCTTTAAGTGCTATTTTATTCCACCCCTCTGAAATTCTCCACCCCACCACTGCCTCAAAAAAAAAACTGATGGAAAAGATGGGATGCGCCTCTCTGCTCCATGCTGTTTGAGGGTAAGATGTATTACAAAAGTAGATGCATTAATGGGGTTGAATGGAATCACATGTTGGCACCTAAATCCATTAGATGCCCAACAGATAGAGCAGAACCTGGCCCATAGTTTCACAGGACACCCTCCCCTTAGCATCCAAAATGCTGCACCTTCCCAATAGCAAGTGCTCATGGAAACACCTAAGAAACATTTCAGTGCTCCTCCTGTAGCTTTATATGGGTCCAAAGTACTATATGACCTGGAGCCTCCCCTCCCTGGCACCTCACCAAGGAGGCCAGGGACTCAGCGGGCCTGGAGCACCCCAGAGACAGTGCCCCCAAACAATCTGATGGAGGCTTGCAGGAGGTGACTGGCAGTGTGAAAGGGGAAACTGCCTTGCTTCCATTGCACAGGGAATGGATAGACCAAGCACTTTTCCCAGCGCTGAAATCATCCAGTGACATTTATCCCTGTGCAAAGAACATAGCAGCATTGCCTAAGGCTGAATGCCACCCTCAGAGAACAGAGACTATTGCACTAAAATAATTTCCAACCTCTTCCCTTCCAGTGGCAGAGGTAGGTGCAGCCAGGAAGTTTTATTTTGATTTGCTCTAGAAACCCTCAATAGGATTCATCATAGGCAGGTGCCTGACAGGCACAAGGCTCTTAGCAGCATCAGTCAAACATCGAGATTTTCCTTTGTCCCCAAAGAGCAGAGAATTTGCAACCAAATAACATCCACAGGCTTCTGCTGACATTTCTGTCAAGTGCCTTCTCCTGTGGCAGCCAGGAAGTTATATTTTGATTTGCTCTAGAAACCCTCAATAGGATTCATCATAGGCAGGTGCCTGACAGGCACAAGGCTCTTAGCAGCATCAGTCAAACATCGAGATTTTCCTTTGTCCCCAAAGAGCAGAGAATTTGCAACCAAATAACATCCACAGGCTTCTGCTGACATTTCTGTCAAGTGCCTTCTCCTGTGGAGTGAGTCAGGGCAGGAGTGGAAAGGTCCTAGAGAGCTTTCATTGCCAGAATAAGGTCACGGCTGCAAGCTGCTGTCTCAGAACATCAGTGGTGCTAATTTTAGTGCGTCCTTCAGGGAAAACAACTCGGAGGTGAGGGTGGAAAGATTTTTATACACAAAAAGTTATTTAAAGGGTAAATATGGGATGATTATCTCTTGGACTTGCTGGCTCTAAACAGCAGTGCTTTGAGGTGAGAGAGGATGATGCAGTTTTAATATAATAGGGCTCAGAGACCCCAACAGAGATCAGTGCCCTATTTTGCTGGGCACGGCTCATGCATTTATTTATTTATTCACTTTATATGCCACCCTTCCCGACAAGGCCCAGGCCTTGTAGGAAGGCAAAGCCAAAACCCAAACCCAGAATCCCTGCCTTCAGCCTAGTCCCTTCACTCGAAGAACAACCCTTCCCTTGGGAGACTTGTGTGTTTTTGCTCAGAGCTGTCACTGTCTGCTTCCACATGTGTTGTTTTGAGCTGTCGTATGGCAGGGCATGCTTGAGACAGGCACTGTTGGGGATGTGGCATAGACATGCCCCTTCCAAAATGTATCTGGCAAGTAGTCCAACTACCTGTACTGTGACAGCCATCTCTGTGGGTGGGCTCCTCTTTGTAATAGGAAGGACCCGCACAGTTTTGCACTCAGTGAAAAATGTCTCTTGAGAGGGCTGACAGCAATCTGAATGGTGACCACTGTCTGAGACAAACAGAGGACCCCAACATTTGGTTAGTGCTTGATTTCTCTGTCTGACTGAAGGCCTCTGTAAATGAAGCATAACTGACTTCTTGAATGATCAGAGGGGAAATAAAGGTGGCCCAAACTGGTCAAGAGGATCTGTAGCTACAAGCAAGCTGTTATTTGCCTATGGGCAGATTTTAAGGCTATCCATGGTATGGCACCTTCTACTATGAGTAGCCCACTGACTTGCATGCATCAAATATTGCCAGCAGCACTTCAGTGAAGACACTCCCACACCATCAGTCAATACCACAATCCGTTCAGCACTCACACCTCCCCAGGGGCTCTTCATGCCCTGGTGGTGTAGCTGCTGAGTGGGGCTGGGCAAACCCACTTCTGCCAGCTGCTGCCAGCACTCCCTGTTGCTCAGCTAAGTAAATGTTGATCTAGCCTGCGAGGAAGAGCTTCACTCTTGGGTCTACATAAAAGTTACATGGTGCCTAGGAGCTTACATCGAAAGCCGCTCCGGGATTTGGGGCCTGAAACGTCAGGAGTTTCTAGATCCAGATAGATGGAAGAAGCTCTAAAGCCCCTAAAGACATCAAGCCCAGACCAGAAGTTGAGTCCTAGAAAAGAATTGCCTTCACCCAGATACAAGTTTAAGAGGAATAGTGCAAACTGTATTTTTACCAGCCCAGAGATTAGGTTGAAGCCCTTCCAAGGCAGAAGATGATCACAGCCTTGGGCACGTGCCTTCATCAAGGTACTACATGTTCACATCATGTCTCCAGCCTCCTCATGGCATTTCCTCATCTTCAGCTCACACCAGTCGGGAGCCATCTCACCCACCCCAGCTTGTATCCAACCCCTTATCCACACCGTGCACTTCCAGTACCTCCCTGTTTCTCACTTCTAGACAGATACAGAACTGGAAAGCAAAGAGCAGGAAGCACCTTGCCCAGATGATAATACTAACCGTTTCCTCACTGGCCTGGATTGATCTCCGGCTGAGGATGAGTTGAAGGAAATTGGTCCTGTCTTCCTTCACTGTTAAATCCTTTGCCTTCTTCCTTGGCTTCCCAGCCTTCTCACAGCCAGCCATTCCCTGCTTGCTCTCTCACTCCTGCTACACAGTAATGGCACTCAGTGCCTTAAATTAAAATCTCAAATCCTGGTTTGGCTTCCAGAAACCAGATACCGGTACCAGAAGACACAAGTCTGGTGTCTGAGTTACGCTGGCTGTAAGGAGGACAAGACTCTGGGCAGGAAAAAAACAGTTCACAAAAAAGTTTTCCCGTGTCTTAGCAGCAGAGCCCAGTCCTTGGGTTTATCCATTTGGTTTCATTGTTTGCTGGCATTTTCTGTTGGCAGCTTAGCCAAAGGGGAGGAGTGTTGCTCAGGCAACACATGGCATCTATAGCGCCTTCCTTTCCTGAAGCCTTTGAGTGATTAGAGACGCAGCAGAGGCCTATGTGCTTGCTGCTTTGTGATTAGCTGGGGATGTTATCTGAGCCTGGCTCCAGGTAGGGTGCTGCTCAGGGCAGCAGTCGCAGCATACCTCTGGCTTCAGAAGTGAGCTCTGCAGATAGGGCCACAGCAAATGCCTTCAGGAAGCCATGTTGTTTCATTGCTTCCTCTTCAGAGTCCGGTTTAACTTTCGGAGGAGGTAGAAGACGGGTTATTTCAGCACCGAGGAATGGAAGAAGTCTGGCAGCATTGGTGAGTTGCAGGTACTGGAGCTGGCATGCTGTTTAGCATCGTTTTTCCCAAATTATGCATTTCAGAGGCCTGGCTCCTGACTTAGAAGGAACTGGGCTGCACTGCGGAGGGTGCGACCGTGCCGTCAAAGGGAGCTCATGGGGAGAGGGGAGCCTGGGGGTACGGTGCACCTGGGAGAGACCATGCCATTGCTGACCACTTCCCTCCTGTGCTGCTGAAGCCAGGGACAGTAACTAGAGGCACCGTTTGTGGGAATTACCTGCCTGCCTGTCTGCAGTCTCTGCCTGGAGCCTGAGAAGAGGCTGGTGGTTCTGGCTGTGGATACCTGCGCCCTGCCTGGCCTCACTGTATCTGCATAGTCTTGGCAAAGAGCAATAATTTCAAAGGGAAATAGTTGCTCTGAAACACCGTAGATCAGTGATTCTCAACCAGACATGCCATGAGATCCTTTTAAGGGTGCTGTGGGGCGGGCTGCTGCACAATATTAGCACTTTGAAATGTGCAAACACCTATATGAGTCACAAAGATAATCCCAGAGGTTTCAAATAGGAGTGTATGGTGTCAAACAATGTCCTGACCGGTTGTGTTCTTTCCGAGTCCTTGGCAACACAATTTTTTTATACAGTAGTTGAAAAATGAGTGAAGTTAGTGTTTGAAATGGGGTGCTGGCAAATCCAGTTCTGGATGGATGCCTTCAGCCTAAGCAGGTTGAGAAGCACTGCCCTAAAGCCCGGTGGTTGGCTTGTGCCACTGGGAACTGGAAGAGGGGAGTCTGAAACTCCTTGTGCTGGCAACCGGCATGCCCTGTATGTCAGGAGAGTGCTGTGAGCAGTAGGATAGGGACTAAAGCAGGGGGTGGGGGGGAAGCTTTGCTTCTACCCAAGACTTTATACATACTCCATGCAACGAGAAAGAGCTCCAAAAGGAGGGGTGAAGGAGATCTCTCCTGAAACACCTCCAGTCTGGGGGTTACTGCACTGGTCTGGGAGGTGTCAGTGCAAATCCCCACAGGCAGACTCCCTTCTGTATGTCTCCAATCTGGCTTCAAGACTGCTGCTGATGGCGGGCCTCTGAAGCCAAGCCTTGAAGCAGGGGTCAGAACTGAAGCCTTTGCTCCCTCCTGAGGACTGCACTCACCACTGCCTTACAAAGCAAGTGGCACCTTACTTGCTTTCCCTCTGGCCCCGTGATTCTTGCATTTTTGTTTGCCTCTTGGCAGTTCAAGTGGAATAGAGATGCCAACTGCAGTTTATGCATCTTCTATTACTCTCCAAAGGCAAATCTACACAATTTACACTCACCTGGCATTCACAAAACATGGGCAAACTGTCAATGATCACTGGCCATTTTGCAGACTCTGTCAGAGCATCACGGCTCAAGAGTTTCCTCTTCTGTAGCTTCCTCCATGTTCCGTGAGTAATTGTGCAACTGCATCAGGTTTTTCTCTCTCAAAGGCACATCCACGTCCATACATTTTTTCTCACCGCATTTTTGTTTTGTTCTCTTCATGCAGACCAATCAGAAGAGAAGCACCCTGCTTCATTAAGTGTATTTTCAGAGACAGGAACAGTGATTCATGATTCTTCGGTTGTAAGAAATTTCACGGTAAAAGATCCTGATGTATTGGTTAGCAGCGAATTTATTCTTTTTACAAAAATCTTAAAAGTACTTGGCTTGGCTTTGCATTGTTGGCTTCTCTCTCATTCCCTCCCCCGCAATACTCAGTTCCAGCAACATGTTTATATATTCTCACAGTGTGTCACTGTAATTTTCAGTCTGAATCATGACCATTTCCATTAGCAACAATGACCACAAATCAAATGCACGTTGTCTACAAATATAAGCTAATCCTGAAATGTCTAAACCAGGACTGTCCATCTGGCAGCCCATGGGTGGCATGTGGCCCCCAGATGCGTAGGGTTGATTTGCAGCTCCTCTACCCCCACAGCTCTCACCCAGCTACTGCTCTCCCCATGGCTTCAGCTACAGCAGCAGCTGGGGCCTCTGGGCTCCCTCTCCCTCCTCCAGCTTCCACATCCTGTCCCTTCCCCAGGGGCTGGGAGGGGCAGCGTGGTGCTGCCTTGGGCACCTGCATAGCACGGTGCAGTGGAGCCCACAGCAAGGAAACCAAGACTATCTGGGGTGCCCGCACACATACATAGTACAGGTGTGCCCATGGCGCAGTGAGGAAGGGGGCACATGTGTGGTGTGTGGTCTGGGGGGGCCTGTGGCTCTGACTGCTGTGGCTGATGGGACATGTGCCCCTCAGCTGCTTGGAAGTTGGACAGCCCTGTTCTAAACCCTGAAGCATCAACAGCCCCATCTGAACAGATGAAAGAGCTCCTTTCCGTCCACTGCCACAGAGCAGCAAGGCCCACATTTCCAATTTGCCACTCTCAACAGAAACAAGAATTGCTAGTGAATAACTTGTTCCACATTTGCAATTGTGCTCTTTTGCCGTGCAGCATGTGAAGCAGGGCTGCACACACCCCATGCTGTGAGAGGGTCTGAAGCTTTTGGGGGTCATTCAGACCTGATTGTTCTCAGTAAAGATGAGACACTAGGCCCTTGCGAACCTTGAGCCTGTCAGCCAGGGCTTTATGTCTTTGAGGCGTTTCATTACACTGAATAGACCACCTGCTACACTGGGAGGGGGTCCTTGGTAGAGAGAGGAAAACTCTGCATGGCTTGCCCCTGCTCAGTGAAGCAGCAAGCAGCTCAGCCTTCAAACTCTGTGAATTCTCTTGTTTTCACCAGGACAGAGCCCCAGTAATTTGAGTGCTGGCCCTGCCTCCTTTGCTCACAGCATCTTGGGGGTTCACGTTCAGGGAGTCCTCTGCCTTTTGAGCTGCCCAGAACTTCTCTTCTTTAAATGGGCTTCTACACAGGTAGACAGGGCAGGCAATTTAGTGCAACCGCTGACTCCCCCCACTCTGTACACAGCTCTGTACCCAGCCGCTTCCAGACCAAGCCAGAGCAAAGGTGACAGAGGAATGGGTGGTAGGGCAACGGAGAGGATTCTCACATACATGTGCACACACATGCTTGCACCACATATGCACGTGTGCCCTCTCTCTCTCTCCCCCAGTGCTTAGGCTGGAATCAAAAGTGCAGCATTTTTCACTGTACATAGAAACCAAAAGTGGGACTAGTTTAACACAATGGGGGAAGGGAGTGCCATGAATGTTACTTCCCACTATCTCTTATCGTCCTGGGTGATTCTGTTCACTCTATCACTTTTTGTCCTCTCCCCAAGCAAGGCAAAGATTTCAGAGCCTCTAGAGAGAAGCCCAATGGCTGGTTACCTGTATTCACCTCTGCCTGGAGGGGCCAGCTGAACAACGGGAGTAAGACTGCAGGGAGCAGGTGCCTCTGTAGAGCCTGGCATTACCCTGCCAAAGCAGCATGGGATATGCTTGCATGAGCTATTGCTCAAGGAGGAGTCGCATATCCCTTCAGGTCTCCCCTGGCTATTGTACATGTACACACACATGCATGTGCACATACATGCTGACGCTGTGTCGAGAGGTCACACTATCCCAAACCCCAGGGTGATCTGCATTTCACCTTCACTCTCTTTCTCTGCCTCTCCTTCTCTCTCTGTGACTTTAAAACAAAAGACAGGGCCAAGCAAAGGTGTGGGAGTGAAATGCAGAGTTGCTGAGGAAAGTGAGGGCTGACTTGAGGCAGAGGGAACACCTGGGTCAGACCCGAGCCCTGAGCACTGAATTATTCCCACCCCTGGCCATGCACACACACCTTTCTGATCTCCCTCTGCTTGTCCTGCTCCAGCCCATACACAGAGACTCTGGCCTCGAAAGCAAAGTCCTCCAGCTCGTACTGGAAGCTCAGGGCGCGTTTTGTCCTGGATGCCATGGCTGCAGCCTGCTACTGTTGCCTAGTGACTGCATCTAACACAAGGCTTGTGGGGAGCTCTGCTCAGGGACCGCCCTCTCCAGCACAGGAGGGTGTGAGCACAGCTCTGCCAGCAGATGCATCTGTTAGGGCTCTGTTGCTGGGACATAGCTTGCTGCTTGCAGGTGCATTCAGGTCACAGGGACCCTGGCAGTGGGCCTCATCCAAAACCTGTTGAAAGCAGAGGGATGCACTGGCCTTCAGGGTGCTCGCTTTCTGCAGTCAGCGGCCAGTTAGTGCCAGGGTGCCTTATGATTAGAGAGCTAATTGAGGATGGAGTTGGGCTCTGGAATGAACTAAGGAGCACATCACCACCTGCCCTTTCAAGGACCTGGGGCAAATACAGGGCAGCCTGGGAAGAACAAATCTCTGGTGGAGCAAGATTCCCCCTGCATACACTGTGCTTCCTGGGACACTGGGGTCCATGAGACTGATACAGGACCATTAAACTCTGAAAGACTCCGCTTCTGGGGGTGGGATTGCAGGCTGGCTTCAAAATGCCCATCCCCGCTGGCGTGGGGATAAGAGTAGTCAAGCAAAGCTAGTGAAACTATGCCTGTCTCCTCTGCTGCCCTATGCCTGTCTCCTCTGCTGCCCTTCGAGATAACTCATGGGAGCAGTTATTGAGAGCTAGAAGCATCCCTGGTTTCTGCTTTTAAAGACGCACATTTTCAAAGCCTTGTTTGAGTAACGAAGAGCCAGGCAGTAAATGACTAGGGGACTGGGTGCTAAGACCACTCCTGGATCTAAGCCCAGTGAGGACTTTGTTCCTGGCTTTAGAGGAGAAAAGGCCTGGCTTTAGAGAAATGGCTTTGCCCAGCTATTGGTGTTTCCAGCAAGTTTGAAGTCTTGTGCCTTACAAATGGTTACAAGCAAGTGGTCAACTCTCCTGCCCTGTGCTCATGTCCCTGCAGTGGCTCCAGTCAGCTTCTGATGTCAGTTTAAGGCCTTGGTCCTAATCTTCAAAGCAGCTAAGGATCCAGCCACAGCTAAATCATAGTCACAGCCTATGAAATATTGACGGTTGCCCTCTTCTAGGGCAGGACAGATGATAATGCCTAGGAGGAAGCTGGTGAGAGCTGGGAGCAAAAGGTGTTTTGCTCTGGCTGGAGGACATGCTCACAGAGGGGATCAGGCAATGCCAGAGTCTGTCTGGCTTTAGGAGACACTGCACAGTTGTCCTCTGACCCAAATCCAAATATTAGCCCCTCCCTACCTGAAGCCCCAACCCCTACCCAAAAAGTCTTCACTGACGTGGCCAACATCCTCTAGGCCAGGCCCTGTCAGCAGTAGCGCTATCCTCCAGCTCCAGGCAGCAGAGCTCTCTGAAGATGTGACCATTTCCTGTACATCTATGGTTAAGGCCTGTGACCTGGCCTGCTCGTAGCCACATTTTGCTCATCCTTAATAATGACGAGCAGAAGTTTCTGACGCAGGTCCTTCTGTGAGGTGGCTCCCCTCTAGCTTCCTTGTGCCATCAGGGTTAGCAGCAGGGGAGAGGCAGTGGATCAGGAGACAAGGAACTCTCTTGGTCTAATCTTTGTTGACTCACTGGGTTCTCTGTAGCAAGCAGCTACCTCAGTTTCTCCACCTGGACAATACATTGTCGTAAGCACCAAGAATGTTCTCTGGATCATCCTGGCCTCTCCAATTGCATCTGTTCCCCCCAGGCCTGGACACACAGCATTTAGCCCTTCAGGGCCAATGTGTCATCCCCCAAGGTAGAGGCAGTGGGCTTGCTCCCAGTGAGCACTGAGGACTTGCAACTTCAATTGTTTCAACAGTCAAATACACATTTCCTTGCCCGGTCCCTTCCCCCACTGCAAGGCTGCCAACTGCACTGCACTTTGTGCGCTGTAACCCGGAGGCGCCTTTTACCCTGTAGGACCCAGGGGCCCTGTAGTCAAAGCCCTCACGTTCTGCGCTGCATTTCACCTTGACAGGTCCACCACGCTTGCACAGCCAGAACCTGACCCTCAAGCAGAGCAGGCAGGGGCTGAAGGCTCCCTCTGAAAAAGCAAGTTTGACAGCACAGGCACACGCTGCCTGCAAGTTGGGGAATGAGCAGCATTTGAAACAGACTCCATGATGGGGAAGCTGCTCGCTGCGTGTCCCATAGGGCCTTTGGTGCAGCTTGCACCAGCTGTCTCTCAACTGCAAAGTGGAAGCACTTGACAGCCTGGCTCTCCCATCACTCCCTGATCTCAAAGGCACAGACACACACACACACACATACACATGCAGTCATGGTGGTCAGGTTGCTCCCACAGCACCATACATCTGCTCTCAGCAGGCCCCACTCTGCTGCCTTGTAAACGCCTATGGACTCTTTCAGACTATCCTGCCTCTTGGTCCTTCATAGCCATTGCAGGGATTGGCTTAGGCTTAGTTAGAGGTCTGTCCTCCTCACCATCAGTATCTGTCATGAACAGGTAACTAATAATGGAGACTCCTGAAATCTGCAGTCTGCTTACAGTGCACTTGCCTGTCTTGGGAGCCTGGTTGTGTCTGGGTATCTTCCATGTCCTCAGCTCTGCAGCACAGCACAGTGCCCTCTGAGACAGGCACCTTGGTTGCAGCCACAGGAACAAACTTACAGCACATGGAGATGCAGTGAGAGAGGGAAGGCGAGAACTAACTGGTTTCTGAATGGCCTGGCCTCAGCTCCCCAGTGCCCTGTATCCATACTGCCCAGAGGCAGACCTGGACAGGCTCAAGAGCTGGGCAGACTGGAACCAGATAAAGTTTAACACTTCCAACTGTAAGGTGCTTCATCTGGGGCCAAACAACCCTCAACATACATGTAGGCTTGGTGGTGACAGCTTGACTTGCACCATGGCTGAAAGGGACCTAGGGGTAATGATCCACCACCGCATGAATATTTGCCGTCAGTGTAAGGCAGTGGTCAGCAGGGCAAACAACATGCTGGCATGCATCAACTGATGCATCTTGTGTAAAACTAAGGAAGTGATACTCCCACTGTACTCCACGCTGGTTAGACCGCAGTTGGAGTACTGCATCCAGTTCTGGGTGCTGTGCTGCAGTAAGGATGTGGAAAAACTTGAGGGTCCAGAAAAGAGCCACCTGTATGATCAGGGACTTGCAAGGCAAGCCATATAAGGAAAGGCTGAGGGACCTGGGCCTCTTTAGTCTAAAGAAGAGAAGGTTGAGAGGGGACTTGATAGCGGCTTACCGCTATGTCAGAGGAGTGCATCAGGAGCTTGGTGAACAACCGTTCACTAGGGCACCCCTGGGGAAGACCAGGACCAATGGATACAAACTCCTGGAAGGCTGCTTCAGGTTTAATACCAGGAAAAACTCCTTCACAGTCAGGTTAACCAAACTGTGGAATAAACACCCTCTAGAGGTGGTGCAGTCACCTACCCTGGAGGTTTTCAAGAGGAGACTGGACAGTCACCTCACTGGGGTCACTTAACCCCAGTTGTCTTCCTGCCTAGAGCAGGGGGGGAAGGAGGGGGGTGGGCTGGACCTGATGATCTGTGAGGTCCCTTCCAGCCCTTGACAATCTATGAATCACAGTTCACACTTAAGCAAAACTGCCATGCCCTGCGGCTGGCGTTAAGGTGGGCAGGCAGGGTCTGGGCAGCAATGAGGCCTACGGAGGACTCCCATCCTTGCAATTGGAATGAGTGGGGCTACCTATAGAGTACTGGGCTCTTCTCCATGTCACAGACTGCCTGGCTCTGAAAGCTCCAGTGACATCAGGTCTCACCGCTCACTCCTGCCTTTGTAATCAAGGGCTAAGGGCCTTGTCTCCAGAAAGCTCTCTTGGGGCTAACTCTGCAGGCCTTACTCTCTTAGGCTAACTAGGTTTTAATGAGCCTTCCCTTGAATAGGTGCAGCGAAGGAGAGTTCTGTGCCAGTGGTGCTTGGCCATAGGCTGGGGAAGTCCCGATGATCCAAATCCCCGGTACAGCTCACACTGTTGTTTAGATGAGTGCCAGGAGGGTGGAAATGCCTGCAGGGCAGATTAGAACCGTCCCTTGCTCATTTTGGATTGGGGACCGATACAGAGCGCTGAAGTCAGCGACTCACCAGGCTGTGCAATGCTGGAGAATTGACCCCTGTGGTTTTACCAGGGATCTAGTGGAAAAAACCATGCCTCTTAAGTGCTGTAGCCAACCATTACACAGATGTGGCATCACCCTCTCCAATCTCCTCCCACCTGCTGGTGTCTCAGGATCAACTCAGTCAAACACCATGCCTTGTGCTCATTTGACATGTATTTAATAGAAAGATCTGCAAAACTCTAACATCTGTGGACAACAGGACACCCGTGTACAAAAGATCAGTAGAAGAATTGATTATTGCATAGACCTTTGTGTTGAAATGGCCCCCCCTGTGCTGTCCCCACCCACCCCTCAGTACCAAAATAGTTGCCTTTAGAAAACAAAAAGTGTCTTTGAATCTGCTTCAATAAAATTCTGTCTCCATATAGAATAAATACTCTCCCTCTCGCTTAAAACTGGCTCTCCCTCCCCTGGTTTTCCCCCTCCCAGTAATCCTCCTGTCTCTGCTTTGTGCTCCACCCTATTAAGGCATGGATTGTACAGGAGCACCACTTGACATGTCCAGACATCGCAGTGGCACTCGAGTGAGACCAGGCGTTGGGTGGTGTGAGCGGATTCAGGTCCCTTCACAGCTCTATAGGATGGAGAAGAGAAGAACGCAGCTCCCAAAAGGACCTGGAAGCCCAGAGATCTGATTGATGTGGTTTTGAGTCTGGCCTCAGTAGCTAGCAAAGTCACCTTCTCCTGTGTAGACTCTCACCAAGTTTGTTCTGTTCCCTTCCTCCAATCACAGTAGCCCCCTGGCTCATAGCAGCAGCGGTGTGAGTTCTCAACCTTTCCTCAGCTATGGTCTAGAAGCTGGACTCAGGCACTGGTTTCTTCCTGCCCAAGGAGGCTGTGTGATATCTGACCCTCTGTAAGGTGCCACAGGCCACCTTTTCCACTGGTGCACTGCGGGTGTGCTGGTGAGCAGCGCTACCATTCTTGCAGAGGGAGGACGATCTCCGCAGGGGCCAGTCGGCCTTGCTGTGGATGCTGACCGAGCTCTGGGAGCGCTTGATATCCAGCTCGGAGCGGCTGATCCTGCCGTTGGACAGGCCCTCCTGGCTGCGGCGGCCCAGTGTGCCGTTGGCCCTGCTTTCGCTGATGACGCTGAGGGTGCCATTGGCGAGCGATGTCCTGGAGGAACCCATGGCTGTCTCCGAAGTGCAGCACCGCTCCAGCTCGCTGGGCCTCTTGGTGTCCTTCTTTAGGAAACCAGCCCTGAAGATTGTGAACCTCCCTTCCTGCTGCCTCTCAGCCTCGGGTTCTTTCTCCCTGCCGTGCTCCCCAGCCTTGGCGGGGTTTCTTTGGTCGTTGTCCATGTTCCTCCCCTTCAGGGAGCTATAGGGGTGGGACATGCTGTTGTTGACACACGTGGCTCCATTTGAGTTTGCTTTGCTTCCGTTGCTCTTTGGCTCAACTTTCCTTGGTGGTGCCACATTGAGAGGCAACTCTAGCTTCTTGGGTGTCCTGTGTGGTTGGCCTGTGTCCTCCTTTGGCTTGCTCGCTCTCTTCAGGGTGCTGGTCTTCTCCGGGGGCAAGGGGGGTTTGCTGTGGTTCTCAGCTGGCCCCACTGTGTTGCTCTGTAAACTCCCACTAGCCCTTCCTGACCCACCACCCTCTTGGTCCTTCACAGCCCCTGCAGCGGTTGGCTTAGACTTAGCTAGCAAAGGCCCATTCTCTTCCCCAGCAGTGCCCGTCATGAGTGGGACGATAGACTCATTAGTGTATCTGGGCCGGCGCCCAGACTCCAGGTACTCCACCAGCTCCCCAGACACACCCTGCAGCCTGTCCTTGGATGCGAAGGACCAGCGAAGGGGCATTGGTTTGGTGGTGCCCAGTTTGGGCTTGGTGGGTGATACTTTCATGCTGACACTCCGTCCCTGAATGCCTCGCACCAAGGGTCTTGACTCAAAGCCTCCTGGAAGAGCGACACAAATAGATTAGACAACATGAACCACCAACAGTTCCCCAGGGTCAGGCCAGAGCCACGATTCCACAGGAAGGAATAGAGGAGGCCTGTTTCAGTTGAGTGTGTGTGGGGGTAGCTCCTATCAGCATTGCCGAGTAACCTTGGGCAAATCACTGCTTGCCTCGGCGTCCCTTCCCATCTGTCTGCCTGGTCTGCGTAGAGTGTGAACTCTTTGTGGCAGGGCCTGTGTCTCACTGCATATGAGCTACCCCACAATCTACAGATACTACTAGAACCTGGATGCTAATAAGGAGGGGGTTGTCAGAGGTCACAAGCCCAGTAGGTCTGTCGTACCAGGTTAGGAATCAGTCTGGATATTCTCTCTGCTAGTCCCATGCTCCATCCACCTACACAAGGGATGCACCCTTGACTAGATGTACTGGTACACTGGACTAGCAGCTGGCATGTGGAACATCACAGGAGGCCTGGTCAACTGGACATACCAGCTAAGCATGGCAGCTGCTTTCTGGCTGCCCTTGCTCTTGGCCTGGCACTCTTGTAGTCAGTGGAGGCAGAGATGATGTCAGTGATGTGGACGAAAAGCCAGAGGGTACCATAGATCCAGTCCCTCTGGGTGGGATAGCCATGTAGTGAAGGTGAAAAATGGCACCACAGAGGTTAATTCTATGTATACGAGGTTAGCAACACTGAGAGGCCCAAAGCGTATAGGTTCCCTTAACATCTCAGTTCTGCAGATTTGGGCACCCTGCATCCAGGCTGTGGTCAATTCACTAACTCTATTGTAACACCTGTGAAATTTGATGCTTGTCTTAAAGCCCAAGTCCTGGGCTCCTGGGACTGAAGGGAGAATTGCAAGATTGCATTTAAAAACAAATGTCACCTTCCAACCTTTGTGGTTGGAAGATACACTAGAAAACATGGGCCTCAATGGCTCCAGCACCAAGATATGAATAAGCAGAGCTCAGGAGGACTCAGTTCTGACCAGTTCGGGGGCTTGAGGATGACTTCTGGACTCCTCAGTCCATGGTGCCTAGCAGCCCCAAGGCTCTGTCTTGTATGCTCAGGAACCAGTCTGGCATCTGCCATTCCCTGCTAATTATATATTGCTCATCCCCAAGCCTCTCCTTTAATACCAGGAAGCCCAGTGCCACCTGGCTCCTGTGACACCAAGAGCTGGTCTCCAACACAATATAGACAGAAGGCCCTGTCATGCTCTGTGTCGTACCCGCTGCCCCCCCGGCGGCTGGCTGTTCAGGGACAGGTGTTGGGCACACTGACACAAAAGAGCCTCACCCTTCTCCTGGCTGACTGTGGCATTCAGGAAGACAGGCGAGTCGGGGGGCTTGAGAAAGGAGGGGCAGGTCATGGAGCTGCGGGACACCAGGCTCTCCCTCTTACTGCTTCCGCTGAGCCTTGTGATCCAGTGGTCAGACAGAGAGGAGCTGGTGGAGCCTGCAAGAGAAACCCAGACAACAGGCCAGAGCCATGTCACCAGAGCACGGAAGACTATGAGGTGCTGCAGCTAGTACAAAGGTCGGGGAAGAAGGGGCCAAATCTCTTAGACTCCATGCAGCAGAGAATGTGCCCAGGCTGCTGCAAACACTCCCATGCCCTCTCTGTCGTGCTTGGGCTTGGCAGTCTGAGGTCCCACGGTGCACTCTTCCTGGGGACCCAGCCACCAGGGAGAGGCACTATATATTACAAAGGGGCCCAGTATGGTGGGGGGGATAGTTCCACAGGGCCCTGCTTTATTTTTCTTTGCAGGTCTCCTCTGCATACAGAGTGAGCTCATCTATCCAGCCTGTGAACTGATGCTCAGACAGGTGTAGAGAGGACACTACTCTATGGAGAGGGAAGCTCTGTTGAACATGAGCAAACCCTAGGCTAGCAGGTAATAATGCTGCTGTTCCCTTTAACTAGGAACATGTGCAGAGGGAGGTAGTTAGCCGTGTTAGTCTGAAGCCAGTCAGAAGGCAGGGTAGAGATGCACCTTTAGACTCACTAAATACGATATATATAGAGAGCACAGGCTTTTGTGAGCCCAAGTTCACTTCATCAGATGCCTGTGCCACTGAAGGGCACAGATACCATGTCAACTGAACAGGTCTCAAACATGGGCTCTGCCAGGTTGTGGGTTGTGTGGGGAGAGGGGAGTGGAAGGGAACATTACCCCTGTGCATCAAAGCCCAGGGTTACGGAGCTCTAACATTTGCAAAGGGCCTTGGAGACTGGCTGCGTTGGCTCTGGGGTTTCAGACTGAGGTACCCAGCACTTCATTGTCACTTGCAATTGCAAATGCTACCAAGTGGGGCAGCAGATGCTTATGGTGGGGATAGCTGTTAGAGCTCTGCAAATTGTTACATTTGCCTGTTATAATCATAAAATCATAAAAAATTAGACTCTGAAGGGATCTCAAGAGGTCATCTAGTCCAACCCCGTTCTCAGAGCAGCGCCTATATTATCCCAGCCAAGGCTCTGTCTAGCTGGGTCTTAACAACCTCCGAGGAAGGAGATCCCACAACCTCTCTGGGTATCCTTTTCCAGTGCTTTACCACTCTCCTTGTGAAGAGTTCTGGAAGGTACCTAGGGAGAGAGTGACCTTTGCAGTTTGTGCACCAGCTGGGGCAGCCTGAAGCAGCTCTCCCTAGCAGAGAGGTGTCTGTTGCCATTACTTTCAATAAACTGTCCCATAGTTTTTGGACTCAAGCTCTTTGACTTGTTGATTGAGCCACCAAACAACGCACACATCTCCCCTGAGAATAAGGCTGTTGGCGTCTCATCTCAGGCATCCAAAAAACAAAGCGCATAAAATCAGCAGCCACCGACAAGAATGATAGTAATAAATAGCAAATTAGAGCATGCATTAGTGATTCTATGCACGCATGCCATGGGGTGGCAGCACAAACAGGCCAGCACCTCATTTCAGCACAACAGTTATCCTGCTACAAGAGGCTTATTTTGGGAGGATGCCAGCTTCCTGCTGTCAGAGCAAATGCAGCTATTGTCAAAAGAGATTTTACTGCTCCAGGGAGGCAGGGGAGGAGTGAAGGCCTGGGTAGGTATGTACAGGGCAGGGTGACCAGAAGGGCATTTAGGTGGGAGAGGAAAAATAACAGCTATCACCGCAGCTACATGTCCATGCTAATAGCACCAGCAGTCGCATGTCATTGCTGCCCCAGGAGACCAGTTGCTGTGTCACACCTCATATATGCCTGCATGCACTGTGTGCATCTGTTCACACATGGTCACATGTGCATGCTTTGTGCTACTGTTTGCGTGTGATGGGTGTGTGTGCATTTGCTGCCACTGTGTCTGCAAGTGTGCACACTTTTTGACTGTTAGCATCACACATAGGCAACCCCTCCCCTTTCCCTCCCTCCCTCATCATGCTACCACTCAGTGATGCTGATGGTTTTGCTGTACCCACAGTGTACTTAGCCCTGGGCCCCTCATTTGCATCTGTTCAAGCAGGCACCAAGGCAGTTTTCCCTAACACAGATAAGGTGCAGGGTCAAAAGCAGAGGGGAGAGGAAGGTTGGGCCTGCTGGTACAAACTGACAGGACTTACAGTCCTGGAGAATGTGACACCATCAGGGAAGCTGAGCTCACAAAAGGCTTGATCCTACACCTGAGGTGTTTGCTCAGGGGATGAGCCCCACAGAAATCAATTGGGACTCAGCTGAGTGAGGGTGATCCCTTGGCAGACAGAGACCTCTAAAACAGAGAGGGACCTATTCTCGCTTGGAGATGGTTTTGAGTGATCCTGGAAAGCCTGCAGGGCCAGGGGAGTCTGGCTGGAGCCCGCCCATGCCTGAGGCAGGGTGCTGTGCCCACCTCTCATGGAGCTGCTGGCCGACCAGCTGGGGATGGCGTTCCGCCTCTGGTAGAAGAGGATGTAGGCACTCCGGGTGCTGACCTCATCCTCCTGGACCGACTCCACTGTGCTGTCATCATAGCTGTACCAGCGGCCATCCAGTGAGTTGCGGCAGTAGGCTGTGGGCAGACAACATAGCTCAGGGTCAGGAAAGGACTGGGGACCTTAGAGAAGAAATGGGGAGGTTGTGGGGAGAAATGGCCTAGGCAAACAGCTCTCAGCTGAGTTTGAGTTTCATCAAACTACATCCAGGCTGTTTGGCCAGCTCAGCCCATGGGAATCCCCCCACCCTTTCAGTATCTGGGTGAAATGGCAGGCTATGGAGCTGGGGGCTAGTTAGCAAGGCTAGAGGGACTTCTGCCAGGGCACACTCAGTATAGTACCCACCCTGCACACTGCCAGGGCACACTCAGCAGTATAGTGCCTGCCCTGCACATTGCCAGGGTACACTCAGCAGTATAGTGCCCGCCCTGCACATTGCCAGGGTACACTCAGCAGTATAGTGCCTGCACACTACCAGGGCACACACACTGGTATAACACCTGCCCTTCACACTGCCAGGGTGCACTCACCGGTGTAGCACCCACCCTGCACACTGCCAGGGCACACTCACCAGTATAGTGCCCACCCTGCATGCTGCCGTGGTGATTGCAGACAGCATACAAGTCGTAGAGGTAGTCCAGCTGGCAGCTCTCAGGAAGGTACGGCGGTTGCTTCCAGGCTACCCACTGGCCCAGCACGTGCTGCCCAGTTTGGCTCCTCTTGGCCACGTGAGGGGCCATGTCAAGGCCACAGAGTGGGAACTGGACCAGTGTGGAGAGCTTGTGCCGCCTCTCGCCCACCTGGCGAAACCGCTTGAGGTGGATGATGAGGATGTCAGGAAGCGTCCACAGGCTTAGCTTCACCATGCCCTGTTGCAGCACCTGGCAGTGGGGACAGCGCCAGGCATCGTCCGGGGCCAGCTGGGGAGACAGGAAGCCATGTGACAGGGATGGCAAGCCAAATGTGGCCCAGTCATGCCGAGTGCTGGCTTGGGCAGGGGGCTGTCCAGTCAGCATGGCATCAGCTCTGTCATCAAGAGTGGGGGTTGGGAGGGGTGGGCAGTGCTGACAGCTGCCATGGTGTTGTGAGTTATGGCTGCTGGGAACTTGCTGGTGAAAGCAGAAGCAAAGCTTCCCTCCCCTGGTTGGCCTGGTGACCTGGGCTCAAGGAGGACCCCTGCTAGCCATGTAGGGCCCGTGGCACACAGCTGAACAGTGCCCATCCCTTCCAGCAGAAAGCAGTGCCATGTCCTCCCACCAGCCAAGCCACATGGTATATTCTGCTCTGGGGTTGAATCACCCCCATGATGGTGCTCTGGGCATAACCCGGGGACAGCAAATACAATCTTCCTTTACAAAATGTTTCTATCCTCCCATGTTTCCCTCCCCTCTCTGCCCCCACACAGGGCTAGGGGCCTCCCATTTCCCAAGGGGTTGTGGACCAGGCCTACCCTCTGCAATGGCTAAGCAGGTGATGGCAGGCAGTGAGGAGCTTTTCCTTGCCAGTTCCTGTGCCTGGCATGGGGAAGATGGCCAGGTACCTCCTTGAGATCCACAGCTAGAGCTGAGAACACAGCTCATCACATTGATCAGTAGCTTTTCCTTGTGCCCCCCATCTGTCTGCCTATCTGCTGTCTCACTGTAAGCTCCTTGGGGCTCTCTGCTCTGTGTCTGCCTGGCACAGTGGCCTCCTGGGCCATGATGGTGGCTGTTTAGCACAAATCCATAAACAGGAGAAGAGGGTGCAGCACAGAGACAGAAGCCCAGTCTTATCAGAGGCTGAATGAGTCTGACTCTTGGTCCACTGGCCCACAAATCACATGCCATCTAGGCAAGGTCATGGGGCATTTAAGAGACTTGGTCTGGGCAGGACAGACTGGGAATGCATTCCAGTGCCAGAGTGGGAGGGCAGCATTGCTGGATACAAGGGCCTTACGCCAGCAGAGAGAGGCAAAGACTGCCCCCAGATGCTCCAACTGAAACACGAGCAACACCTGGACTGACAAACCTGTCATGCCGATCCCAGACATTGCACCTGGCCAATGCAGCCAGCTTTGGGCTGTGCTGGGCAGTGAGGAGGCTCTGAGACAACGGGAACTATACTTTCAAGTGCCATGGGCTGGGCCTGCACAGGGGAGGACTGCCCAAGAGGAACGCCCAGTCATTCTGTTAGCTGAATGGGATTTTCTCTTCCTGGCACTGTTGCAGCCTTGTTGATTTGCACTGCACTGGCTCTTAGGGCCTTGAGAGGCCTCTGTAATTTGTGGCTCCAGATGGTTTGTACTGGCTCAGCATACCAGGCTGTAGTGGAACTAGGGGTGGGCAACTGGAACATGAGCCCTGTGTGCTTACTTGGGAGGAAGGTGGCACTGGAGGAGTGGCAGGGGTCTGTGCTTGCCATGGGCTCACCAAGCACAGACCACAGGAGTCAGCCTTACTCCCCCTCCCCCTGCTCTGTGGTCAACAGCTACTGGGTTACCTCTCCCACAACCACTGCCAAAAGAAGGCTCTTACAGCCACGTTCTGCAGATAGGTTGGTAGGGGATGAGAGAGGGTTAACCCTGTAGCTGTTGCAGCAGAGGCATCTCCCTTTGGGGTGGGAAGTAAGGCTGGCAGGGGACTCTGCCTGTGGCTCCCCTCCCCTGCCAATGCCCAAAGCACAGAAATAGTTAGATGCCCCCCTTCCAACAGGCCAAGATACCACCTGCCCCCTACTCCCCATCTGCCCTGGCAGAGCTGTTTGGTGAAGCCACAGGCCCTGGACCTCTGCCTGTGCCATGTTGCCCCATCCTAACATACGCTCCTTGGGAGGGATCTAGTGCCCTGGGGAGGTAGCATTTGGCATGCTCTTCCTGCCACAGACACCCTTGGGTGCAGACTACCTCCCACTCCAGGGTGCCACCTCTTTCTAGCAGGGCACTGGCAGAGCCCCTCACTGCCAGCTGGGCTCCACAGTGCATGGCAAAGTGTAGAATCAGCACATATCCTGGGCACACTGTCCTGCCCCTCCTGCTCTCCTCCCTCCCCTCCCATGAACAGTGCCCTGCAATATTCCTCTGCCTTCAGCCCGATTCTCTGCTATGGGCCTGCAGCCTGGGACTGGGGGGGGAGGAAGCAGAGCCCCAGTATGTCTGTCTGCTGTAGTTAATAAGAGGAGAAAACTTTTTCTCTTAGATGGGGGCTAGGAAAGGTCTCCCTTCCCTTCATCCCACCTCTTCCAGCTTGGGATGGACACCTAAAACCACAAACTGGGACTTTCTGTCTGGCTATCTATTCTCCCTGAGCTCTCAGCATGGCCTCACTGCAGTCACAGGCATGAAGACCAAAGCACAAGGAAGCCCTGGGCAGCCCAATAAATGTCTCCCCTTATGAGCCTGGTGACAAGGCCCAGAGCTGGGTTCTGGCACACCATGCTCAGGCTGTTGTCCATCTCTACCTGCCCAACATAATGTGCCCCAGGCAGCCCAGAGCGTGGGATGACTCAAGGCCCAGAGTGCAGAGTTGACCCCGCTGGCCCTGAACACACACACATACCTGCTCCTCCTTGGTATAGAGCTGGAAGCACTCATCCAGGGTGCAGCTGTGTTGCTGCTGGTGGACCTGCTGCTGCATCCGTACACTCTCAGCATCCTGGACCACCTCCTCCTGGATACTGCCAAACAGTCTGCAATGGGAAAGAGGGGGTCACAGCCAGGCTCCCTGCAGCAGGGCCTGCTAAGACTATCCGTGGTTCTTAGCCCTGCCTTTGCCTCAGTGCTTAAGGCTGTGTGGATGATAGAGTCAGGAAATTACCCAGGTCTTTCCCAGGCCATTCTGTGGCATCTGTCTCTGTACCCTGGGGCAAGGAGTTTGCCCAGTTGAACAAATACTGCATGAAGTAGAGCAAACCTGCCTGCCTTGCTGAGGGACCCTTTTGATGAAGCTGTGGCCCACACTGTCCAATGCAGGTGACTACGGTTAGGTGCCCAGGCCAAAGTGTTCAGCGGTGATTCTGAGGGGCCAGACTGAGATCCCTTAAAGGGATGAGATTTTGAGAAAATGCTGGGGTTTCCCTGTAGAAATCAAACTGTTCTGGGTGTCCCAGGTTGGGTGCCCCCAAATCACTAGTCACTCTTGAAACACTAACTCCAACTATTACGGATGGAGAAGACCCACAGGCAGCCCTCGGCTGACCGGTGTCCTGGGGTGGTCCTGGAAGAAGGCAGCTGCCTGGAAGTTGCGAACTGATGATCAAGTCTCCCTCTATTCCAAGTAAACTTCTGACTGCTCCACCGCTGTCCTGGTCTCCCAAAGCACAAGCTTGTCCCATTGCTGGCAGCCAGCCACTGATGTGGAGCTCAGAGCTCACCAATCTGTCACACACTACAGGACACTTTCCCTTTGTTTGTATTTAATAATAGTGTTGTTAAAAATCACTTAGGCAGCAGTTCTCCTGCTGCTGCAATTAGATTCATCCTTTGCTCCCAGCTAAAACCAACAGGAAGAGCAGTAATTCAGCTTCCAAATAAGCCTAGGTTGGGTTTTTTACATTCAACTTAATACTGAGGAATGGGGTTGTGCAACTGCTCCTTTGGGTACCCCTACTGTCCACCAGGCGAACCAAGGAGCAGTGTGACCCTACTAACTTAAAATTCCTTAATTCAGCTGCTGGCCTCTTTGGAGGCTGCCATAGTGGAAGTAGTTTGGAGCTATGGACTCCATTTCCCTGGAGGGGACCTGACTGACATGCCTCCTTACTGAGTGGCCATGCCTGCGGGTTTCAGTAACTGCACAGGGAGTATTCCTGCCGCCAAGTAGCTTGTCCAAATCAAGGCCGGGTGTGTGAATTACCTCCAGCTGTAGGCACTATTCTGGGACGACTGCCTGCTGTGATGACTTTCATAAATTTCATAGACATTAGGGCTGGAAGGGACCTCAGGGGCAGGAAGTCAGCTGGGGTCACAGGATCCCAGCAAGATAAGCATCCAATTTTCTCTTGAAGGTGTTCAATGTAGGTGCTTGAACCACCTCTGGTGGCAGGCTATTCCAGACCTTGGGGGCTTGGACAGTAAAGAAATTCTTCCTTGTGTCCAGCCTGAAATGGTCTTGCAGTAGTTTATAACTGTTCGACCTCGTTATCCCTTGGGGCGCTCTGGTGAACAAACGTTCCCCCAGATCCTGGTGGTCACCCCTGATAAACTTATAGGTGGCCATCAGATCACCTCTGAGCCTGCGCTTTTCCAGGCTAAAGAGCCCCATAGCTCTTAATCTGTTATCGTAAGGTCTGCTTCCCTGACCTCTGATCGTGTGCATGGCTCTTCTCTGGACTCTCTCAAGCTTCTCCACATCCTTTTTGAATTGTGGAGCCCAAAACTGGACGCAGTACTCCAGCTGTGGCCTCACCAAGGCCGAGTACAAGGGGAGAATGACATCCTGGGATTTGCTTGAGAAGCATCTACAGATGCAAACCAGTGTTTTGCTCGCTTTATTAGCTGCAGCATTGCATTGAAAGCTCATGCTCATTTTGTGGTCAATGATGACCCCCAAGTCTCTTTCTTCTATAGTGCTAGCCAGCGTATCACTGCCGAGCCTATAAGGATGCTGCAAGTTTTTCCTCCCAAGGTGGAGAACCTTGCATTTTTTGGTGTTAAACATCATCAGGTTCTCGTCCACCTATTTTCTGAGCCTGTCCAGGTCAGCCTGGATCACCCTCCTGTCCTCAGGTGTGGATGCTTTACCCCAAAGTTTGGCGTCATCGGTGAACTTGGCCAGTCCGCTTCTGACTTCAACGTCCACATCATTAATGTACTAGGCCCAATGACTGGTGCAGAAGTAATTGCTTTAGCTCCTGGATGCCAGTGCAGCTGAAGGACAGTCAGTGGCTGTCAGTCTCTCTGGCTCCCAGCTGGGTGCAGAGATGCCACACGGGCCTGAGGATGACCCTCCATCCAAGGGAGCAGAAACACAAAGTCATGGAGCCACCCAGTGTCAGGAGCAGGATGGAGAAGGGGGGCCCCTGGTCCAGGCCACAAACCTTACTAGTTCTGCCTAAACTGGATGTTTTCCCTCAGGCAGAATTCCCACTGGGACAGATCCTAACTGTCCCAGGTTTTTCCCCTTCCTTGGCATCAGTGGGAGGTTTCCCAGAGAGACGCGATCCGGGTTTGGCCCACCTCTTAGTTAGCAATAGCAAAGTCAAAGCAGCCCAGAGGCCAGTGAGCTGGCCCTGGCTGGCAGAGAGAGCAGGCCCCTGGGTGGGGTGTGCTCGCAGGAGACCTCTGCTGTTCCAAGGGGACTGTGGAGTCAAAGCACTGATGTGAGGGGGAGCGGCTGGTCTACCTTCGGATGAGGCAATGCTGCCACTCAGACCCCTGCACATGCCTGGGTGAGCCCGAAGTGGAGGCTCTGCCTCACCTGACCCCATGCTCTGTTGGAGGCAGGCAGCAGGATGCTGGGCACTTACCTTTCTTTGGTGTTCACATCCCACTCCACCACCAGCTTCACATGGGGAGGGCCGCCGGGGCCGCTGAACTGCAATGCTCTGCTAGGACAAGGACAGCCAGTTAGCACATGTGATAGAGATATTTTGTTCAGGGTTTCTGGCCCCTGACATAGGAGACCAGCACCTCTAGCCTGGTCTGAAAGGAAAGCACAAGAATTCAAGGGGTTACAGTCATTGCCAGCTGAGCCCTCCGTAGAGACCAGGAAACCCTTAGAAATAGGCCCCTTAATATGTCAGAGGGAAGTAGAGGTGAAGGCCTGAAGGCCCTGACCACTCTGGTGAGTGCAACCCCCACACTCACCTCCCTCTCCTTCACTTGGTGCTGGTGGGGTCATGTGGCAGGGAAACTGAGGCTGCTACCTGCAGGCAGCCCATTCGCTGCTGGCCCCAGGTTCTCTGATTTATCCCTTTCCTGCTGGCCCAGCACCAGGTCCTGCAGTACAGTGCAAGGACCTGCTAGCAGATCCCTTGTGGGGGGGCAGTCCAGGGAGCTGCCTTTCACCACTGAGTCGGGCCCTGCAGTTTCTTCAGCTCCAGAGCAACAAGGGATATCCAACAGCCATGCCTCCCACTTCCCTGTGACCTATGCTGGCCTACCACTATGGAACTAAGGGGCTTGGGATGATTGCTGGCTTCGTGGACCTGGTGTACGGTGTTTTGTAGGGTGCCATCCCAGATGTGGATTCTGATTCACCACTTCAAACAATCCCCTGGCCTTGCCCAATTCACCATAAGAAGCAAACCCCGCTCTGTTCAACAGACATTAAATGCGATACAGCCTTGCCTTAACAACAGAAGCAAAATCTGCCAACACATCTCTGCTGTTCCAACAATCAGCTCCTCCTTCCCCCCTCACAACGAACCCATCAGAATTCATGGACCTGGGGTAGGACTTGAGCCAGTCGCATGCACGTGCCTATCCCAAATGTGATATATCTGATCCAATGCACCAAATGCTCTCATGGTAACTATGTGGGTGAAACTAGAGAACAACTATGTACCAGAATGAACTCTCACAGAAAAAAACTAAAGAACAGAGATACAAATGCCTGTAGGAGCACATAGGCAGTCACGGTTCTTTGGGTAAATGTGATATCTTTTCTTAGTCAGGCAAGGTTCTTCAGGTAGATGTGATATCTTTTATTAGACCAACTAAATAGTCTCCCAATGCCTGAAAAAGGGTGTTTGTGCCCAAAAGCTTGCAAAGAACTTTTTCCCACTATTTAGCTGGTCTAACAAAAGACATCACATCTACCCAAAGAACCGTGTCTGCCTATGTCCTTAGACCAACACAGCTACAACCAACAACCCTGCATATCTTTTATTAGACCAACTAAATAGTTGGAAAAATTGTTCTTTGCTAGTTTTCAGGCACAAATCCCCTTCTTCAGGCAGAGGAAGAGTCTGCTGTAGATAGAAGCCAATATGCAAAATGTAGGTCTGAAAATGCAAATGTGTGGCAGTGAGGATCAGAGGCCATGGGAGACAATAGGTGTGAGACAGGTAGGTGGGGAAGGAGAAGGGGAATGTTGAATTGGTGAAACAGTGTAGTTGGAAAAATGCAGATGGTTAAAATGTGCCATAAATCCAATGTCTATATTTAGTTCATGATTTTTTGTATCCATTAGATTTATGAAGTGATGTCCGTAGGCTCGTCTACAAAAGGCGTTTTGTACATTCCCTCGGAGGAGCACATTTTTCACAGAACCACCACTCCCTTTCTGACCTCGTTATCCCCGTGCTCAAGGGGAATTTATAAAACACTTCTAAAATGGAAGCTTGCAAACAAAAATTCGGAAGGTGGCTGGATACTAAGAACCAGGAAGTAAACAGCGGCACTGACTTTATGGCATACTATAATCTTCCTGATTCCCCATGCTCTTCCTTCACACTACAGGGGATAATGATCCTCTTCTCTTTTGATAGGTCTTGATCTCTCAGTAATGAAGCTTCTTTTCTTCTGTTAATTGTTTCTCTGCTACCCTTGGGGATTTCTCTCTCCTTCGATTTCACAGCCCTGCAGAACTATTTCTAATCATCTGATGCCTCTTTTCCCTCAGACCTGAAGAAGAATGCCTTGTGTTCAAAACCTTGTCTAATTTTATCCCAATTTTATGCAACTGGCCCAATAAAAGATACAGCACAAAGGTCCTTGTCTCTGTTAGCACTTAGCAAGGGAAGGGACTCAGCCTTACACACGTCCTTAGAAGAGATGGAGATGCAGAGAAGTCTTCTGCAGTAGCAACACAAAACGGAGGCAGTGAGTGGGGGCAGAGGACTTGGTCAGATTGCAAGAGATAAGATTTAGAAATGAGAACCTGCGGTGTAATTCTCAGAAAGTCCAGCAGGTGACAGTCTCCTCCTAGACAAGGTGCAGGTGCATCTCCCCTGCTGGCTCCTTCCATGCTGGGAGCTAGCTGCAAGCCCCCTCCGTCAGCCCCAATACCCAAATCGGCCCTGCCGCCCCTGGGAGGGCAGGTGAGAGCTCATCTCTGGTGTGTGGCTGGATATTCAACATGGCAAAGGGAAGTGCAGCCTGTGGTCTGTGCCCATAGGGAAAAGGACACAGGGCCTGCCTTTGCACTTACTGCCTGCTGCAGATTCTGGGGCACAATTCAAGGCTCTGATCTGTGATATCCCTTGGGAGATGGAAACCTCCTCCCACTATGCCATAGAGTCTCTGACGCCACCAGTTCACATGCTGCCATCACGCCTCAGCCTCGGTGAATGTCCAGGGAGTTTGGCAGCTTCCGTGGCCCCATTCAGGAGAGGTCAACCTCAGCCCTGGCCTGGAGGGTGTAACTGGCTTCAGGGAGCCAAAGAAGGAAGCCACATGGGTAGAGTGACCTATGCAGAGGGAAAAGTTGGCCTCCTGCCTCAGGTCAGGGTCCATTTTCTGGCTATGCCACAAACTCCCTACAGGACTCTGCCAAGTCACTTCACCTTTCCTGTGAAACAGAGCCAGCACCCCTTCCTTTGCCTCTGCTTTGGGGCAGAGTGCGTCTCCCCCAATTCACCTGTGCAGCGACCAAGACGTGGGTTCTGGAACCAGCCACGAGTGTCACATGCAACAGCAGCGACCAGCCGCAAGTGGCAATGCACCAACAAGCTGTTTCACGGCTAGGGCTGGGGCCTTTGCAGTAACCATGGGCTTTGCATCATCTGGATTCTTGCCTCTTTCCCCCAGTGGCTCCCCCCACCCTTCTCCCTTTCCCTTGATCTGAGGAGCGTGGCTCCACCTTCCCTGCAGCAAGCCAACAAACCCGCCAGCTGGGATATTAGCAACTGTGTCATTCCGGTCCCACAACCACCTACCATGTGATTAGCAAATGCTACTGCTAGATGACAGGGCCTAATCTGCTCCCTGCTTCACAGGGGATGTAATCTGAACTAACATTATCTCTGAATAGAATTTGAGCGAGGAGCAGAGAGATGTTCATAATCTATGGGCCCTTCATGGATGTCCTGCTGGGCCACAGGAGCAGGCGGTATGGGAACACAGCACGAGTGTGCAGGTGCGAGGGAACTGGCATGACGAGCTCACTGTGCCCACAGCAGGAGGCACCAGCCAGGGGGAATTAAAAAATAAGGACCACTGTATGCATGCACAACTGGGGTATAAGAGGGTATTAACATGACAAGACCACATGTCATTACACAGAGGCTTTAACCAATCCAGTAGTAGCACTAACTTCTGTGCCCTAGCAAACTGTAGCTGCCTTCTTCCCAACACTGACTAGAGGAAGAAATCAGCTGTCAGTGTCATTCTCACTTTGCGCTTGCTGCAGAAGCTGTAAAAGGTACCCGTGCTGGGACCACGCAGCCTGGCTGGCCATCGCGCCCGCCAGGCCAAGCATAAGCATTCACCTGGAACAAGGAAGTAATTGCCTAGAAGAAATGAGAAACCACGCTGGAGTGAAGGAGCTGGGAAGAATCCCAGAGCAGTGCTGCTCCTGCCACCCACCTGACCTCCCCTTGCCAAGGCAGTGATGCCCGGCACAGTATATTACAGGCAGAGCGATACAGATACGAGAGGCAGCAGCAAATCCTCCCTGTCTAATTAGCAGCTGGATGTAGGACAGTAACACCACACTTTAGTAGGGAACATCAATAAGAGCTGTTCAATTGATTTGGTGCACGCTTCAGGCAGCGAGGCAGTTCCAGGTGGCAAGTGATTTCATGAGATTCCCATCTAAGGGTTACCTCCATCCCCAGGCTTCTTGCAGAGAGGAAGCAGATAGGAGAAACCAGCTCACCAGAACAGAATATACCTGTAGGAGGGATTCCTGTTGCTGGAAAGTAGGGTAGCACAGTGGGGCTGATGGAAGTGTCCCTGTTTGCTACAGGGACACTGCCCTGAGTTTGGGTTTCAGTGGAATTAAAAGCAGGGCTTGGGGAAATAAAAAGTCAGGTCTGAGGCAGGCTCAGTACATAGCAGCTCACCCAGGAACACTTTAGGCCACACTCTCGACACAGCTCAGCGCTCAGGGCACTTCTGGAAATCTGGCCATTTGTGTCAATGGCTAAGTGGGAGCTGAGCTCTTTGAAGTAGCCTGGCAGGTCCTGAGCACTTGGCAATCTGACCCACCAAGGGGCTGAGCCCCTGGGAGCTGGGAAGAGAAAGTGATTGGAAACAGCAAAGCTGACCAGTGGCCCAACTCAGCAGAGCACGTGTAAGCAGCTTGCAAACACTGGCTCTAAAGCATATCATCAACATGGCATGCTCATCTGTGTACCTAAGCATGCACCACAAATATGGGGCAGTATCAGGGAAGCTGAGGTCACCAAGGGAGAGTGGCCTGCCCCTGGGCCCGGTGTACTAACCACTCATGCACTGCAGCTCCACTCTTTCAGTCATAGGCTCCTAATTTACTACTGTGTCTCCTTACAAGCCCTGTCCCCTGGAATGGCTACCACTGGATCCCACCCACAACTGCCAAGTCACTGCCTGGAAAACAAATCCCATGTCATTTCCAGCTCCCAGGAGAGCAATCTTCCACTGCAGGGTCCCACACCTGAGACCTCAGCCAGCTAGGAGGGATGCTCAGCTTGCTGGATGAGCTAATGAGCTGCAGCCAGCCACAAAAGGTGCCCATGGCAACCACGTCAACAGCAGAACAACTGGGCTCCTGACAGAGCTGCAGAGAGCCAGCAACAGTGGATAAATATTTACAGCTCAGAGTAAGAGGAAGCAAGGTAGCGGCGCGTGAAGTCCAGCACCCCTGAAGCACGGCAAGGGGCTTGGTCTCCCAGGCTGTAAGCACTGGATGGGCCACGGTCTGACAAGAAGGCACGCCATGATCACTCTCAAAGAAACACAGGGCAGTAGCATCACCACCAAAGGGGCCCTGCTGCTTCATTTGGGAGGAAATGCCTGAACGTAGGTGGGGAGGGAGCTCAAGGGTATTCTGCATGTTTTCACACAAAGCTAAAGCCAGCCCTGGTCTCCAGCCTTGCCCCCTCAGCCCCCTGGTTTCCTCCCCACGGGGGCAGCAGTAGCAGTGCACCCCATCACACGATCCTTATGAGGGGAGCAGCTCAGCAACCGGCAGCAGGAAGCAGAGCCCACACGGGAGGAGAGCGAGGGTGCCTGCATCACCAACAGCCTTCCTGCCCGCTTGGTTAACCACTGCAAGTGCCTGCTGTGGGCTGGGCAGGATCTTACCTGTCGATAGCTGGGTGGTAGAGAGGCCTGCTGTCCTGAGGGGAGAGGTAGCTGCATGCCACAGAGCCTCCGGCGACCCGGACCCGGAACAAGACTCCCGCGCTCTGCAAAACAGAAGCCGAGAAGGTGAGATTCCCACGGTGGTGCTGCCCCGATTAGTCTGCACCTGGCACAGACGGACAATGGGAGCCGTGACGCGAGTGGGGCTGGAGAGCATGGCCGGGAGGATAGGGAGACTGGGCCAAGCAGGGCAGTGGGATGAGTGATGTCCAGAATGAAGAAAAGACAAGCATGTATTACTAATGAAACCTGCCAGGGAAGAGACCAAGGGGGCAGGGAGAGGGCACAGGAGAAGGTGAGTTGGCAAGGATTTTTTTGTCTCACCGAGCACTAGCACCCCTGGCTGGTCTCAGTTAAAGTGGCCACCTTTTCCAGGACCATCCTAACTTTTGTAGCTTCCCTGAAGAGGACTTTTGTCTCAAATTTGAAAAACCGATCCCAGATTAGTGTCCTGTTGCACCTGCTGAGAGGGTGCAGCACAGTGGTACGTGGTGCTGTATGAACACACTATATTGGGTTCAGTTTGGGAACTTTGTGAACCAGGAGCAGCGTCAGCTCTGCCTGCACAGCACCTGACTAAGACAGCAAGACTCATCAGAGCCAGGAGTGGACTACCGGCTCCTCCGGTCTGTGCAACATCTAGAAGTGTCCCAGTTTTTGCCTGCTGCAAGATGGTCTCTTTAGTTTCAGTAGCGCCCAGGGCCCTTTGACCAGCCTCCCCAATGCTACTTTTATTCATACAGCACCTTTCATCTTAAAGGCTCTCCAAGCATCTGACAGGTTGTGGGTATTTCTCCATCACAGGAGAAATGCAGCTGTTTCTGGGAAGAAGCACAGCTTTGTCAGCAAAGTGACACGAGCCATTTTAGAGAAAGTGAAGCAGTAGTGTAGCTAAGGGGGAAGAAGGGGTGAATGGGGCAGCAGCAAAAATAGTAGGGCAGCCACTGCCTCATGTGCTGGCCCTGTCCAGGGTTTAGAACTGCCCCGTTACACCTCCGAAGCGACAGACAGAGTCTTGGCCTGATATGGCAGGATGGAAAGATTCAGGGAAGCAGAAAGAAATGACATAACAAAGCCATTTGGATCAGGATGGTGCATTTCCTGCTGGGACTTGAAGTCTCCAGGCTCACAAATCAGTACTAACCATAAGGCCTTATCATTACCCCATGGGCTACATTTGGCCAAAATAACTGTCCTCATCCTTTACTTGCACAGCAAATTCAACCTATAGTAAAGAATCGAGCGGTACCTGGGCTGCTCATTTTCAACGCAGCGCCTCACTCCTCCCCTGGGACTCCACGCTCCTCACCTGGGAAGGTCCGACAGTACGAATACAGCAGGTAACTGAACTAGATGGCCACCCACACTACACACGGGTGAAGTAGGATTCTGTGTGTGCGCATGTGCACACACACATGTGCTCACCCCGGACAGGAATTCATGCGTTTTATCCGCATTAATCCAGATGACCGAAACAACTGATACTCATTTTAGGATTTCAAATCTGCACTTCGATTTGTGCTATTTTTTGTATTGCAGAGGTGCAGGAGCTGAACTGTACTCCTCCAGAAAACTGTCGATAAACAGAACTGCTGTGCGAATTCCTCTCCCATTCAGAGGCATAACTGGACATTTCTGCCCCTTGGACAAAGCAGACTGGGTCAGCAGTAGAGCAGCTGCTATTTTTTGCCCCCCAACCTCTTACCCCAGACCTAGTAATGCTACTGCTCCCATCTATCTGCTGCTGCCTCTCTGTGTTGACCTGCTGCCTGCCCTGCTATTTCAGTCCAGAACTCCTCCATTCCTGCGGCTGCTGCTGTTATTCCAGTCCCAGGGAACTCTGACAGTACATTTGGGTCCTGTCTTGCAGCAACTCCTGTGACTCTCATCTTGGACCTTTACACAGGCCTCCCCGTGCCCCACACTGATAACCTCCAAGAGTAGCTCTTCCATCCCTAGCACCTGCATGCAGCTCAGCTCATATTCCTCAGCCCTCTCTGCAGCTTCCCTAGCACAATACTGGCTCTGTTCACATTTTGGGTCCCTGCGTGCTACTGGGATACTATCGTAGTCCCAGCTCAGGTAGAACCGATGCCTGAAGCCAAATGCTCCCAGATTTGGGACAATGGATGGAGTCCTAGCTACACCCCCAATGCTGGGTCCCGTTGCAGTCTGAGCACAGTTGTGTATTTTGTAACAGTTCCTCCCAGCACCTATTATAATTTCTCAATTGACATACAAGTGGATTAATTTGGGGCCATCTCCCTCCCCGTTATGATGTTTTGTCATTAGAATGAGCAATCTTGGCATTTTATTAGCCGATACATCCTGGCTTTCATTATCTGCTACATTCTGCCCCTCATTCTTTTGACAGGGATTGTAATGAGAAATGAAGAGGGCACAAAATGAATCCGTTATCCTGACAATATTCAGATTGTAATCTCACACTCCTCCAGACACGGCTGAGAGAGACACACGGCCACACAGCTCCCTGTGTCAGCATGGTGCTTTAGCGGGGTCCAAAGGCAAAGAGAAAATTCAAACAGCACTTTCTTTCCAGGAGAGCAAAGCACTTCACAAGCATTAATGAGCTGAATTGAGCTTCATCTGCCAGCCCCAACCCTCAGGGTGGTAGAGGGCTTTTATTCCCCTGCTTATAGATGAGGAAAGTGAGGCACAGGTGGCTCAGGGTGCCTCACTGTCCTGGCCAACAATCTGTGGGTAACACTATTTGTCTTTCTTGCTGTGGTAGTGAGGGTTAAGTCCCCCCTCTTTGTCATGTGCCTTGACAATGCCAAGCACAATGTAAGCACTTGTGTTCCTGTACCACAGCAAGAACCTTCTCGCTCCCTCGGGGAACGTGCGCTAGAGCTCTACAATTCCTTCTGCCCACAGCCCAGATTTGCTGTGATATAAATAGTGCCAGTAGCTTGAGCTTTGTGTGAGGGTCAAAAGCCGTTCTTTAAGTGGAATGGGCCAAGCTCTCATTGAGACACCACGGCAGCCCTGATGGTTTCAAAGAGGAGCACAGAAAGCCATCGTGACCTTTTAATAGCTTTCAAGGTACTGCACAGAAACCATAAAGGAGCTTAGAGCAAATGGAAAGGAACCTTTTCCAGGGAGGGCTCCCGGTCAGATATATTACAGAGGCGCTACTGGCACAGCATACTGCATTGAGATGACTGGGTTTACTCTGTGGGCCAGGTCCACAGCTCCAGGGGAATAACCCATCTTTACAGGAGTTACACTCATGTAAATCCCTTTAGCCTTGCATTAGGAACAGATTCCTTAAAAAAAGTAATTCCTCCCGAAACCACCACAGTCTCTTACAGATGCTCTGTCTTTTATTAGCATTTCCTGAAGGCACGGGGTCTTACAGAAATATATATGTTGAATCTGTTTTACATCCGGAGACAGCACAGGTTTGCACACATGACATCATGGCTTCTTTATGGGGATTTGCTACAGGGGACAAAGGTGCTTACAGTCATTTAGGAAAGTCTAGCTGCTTCCTAAAGTGGGTTGTATGAGGGCAGGGCTCCCTGCCAGGTGGAAAGGGAGGCATGACCAAAGTGAGATCAATTCAGAGTTCGCTGTCAGGCAGCCTTCCCAAATAGCCCCCTGGCATTATTATGATGGTGCCATGGTTGGCTCAAACATGAGCTGCTCTGAATACTTGACAGTCTTATCTGCACATGGGAGTTAATGGCAACAGCAAGAGTGTCTGGCTGGATGAGATTCATATTCACAGCCATGCACAGAGATCTGATCCAGCCTGCGGGCATTAACTCCAAATCACCACCTGAAAGGGCCAGACTCACACATCTCTGAAGAGCTGGAAGGAAATGCTGCACTGCTTTTTTAGCAGGGTCCTAAACACAGAGGTCTGGGGCTTCATCTAATCAAAACAGACTGCACATGGGACGGGCCCATTTGGACATGTACTGTGCTGTATTCCCCCCACCATTTCAGTCTGAATGGATTTTCTGTTAGATTAAAGGAAATCAACCAGCAAAAAATGATCAAACATCAAGTCTCTAGAAAAGTGAAGTGCGTTACCTGCTTTACCATTCTGCATCTGAACCGAAACAGAGGAAAATTCCCCATTTAATGGGGTGCTGGACTGGAAACAATCATCTCTCCCTATGATGCAGCTCTCTGCCCTGCAGAAGTGTCCCAGCAAGACAGAAATGGCGCATATGTGTAGGGTCATTACTGCGTGGAAGGATGGCCTTACAGTAAATATATGGGGCCTGGCATTAGCAGAGCACAGCTCTATTTCAGTGAAACTTCAGGCAAGTCACTGAGTCCACTATTTTCAAACTTAGGTCCCTGGTGTTAAAGATATATAAATGCATATTTAAGTATCTAAATAAGTGGCCTACTTTGCAGAGGTGCTGATTGACTGCAGATCCCATTTTTGCCTACAGCAGATGTTCACACAGGACCTTGTGCAGAAAGGCAAATTGCAGCTACTGCACCTCGTAAATCCCACTTACTTCAGAAAAAAAGGCATCCCTTGTCTAGCCAGTCACTGCACAAGTGTGTGATGAAGGGAGTCAGGGCATGGGGTACCAATCTGACGAATATGGGAGAGAGAAGCAGCAATCAAGTTTCACAGTGTCACAACAAATTAAGAGACATCCCCTTTAAGTTATTCTCAGTATTCCTATGAAAGTAGTATTCCTATTCCTATGAAAACTCAAAGTTTTCATAGGGCTTCACTGAGCCGAGTACTCCTCTGGAAAGTAGATAAATATCTTCACTTTAAACAAAGTGAAAATGGTATGCACAGAAATGAAGTGATGAAGAAAGCTCTGCTGGGAAACTGGGAAAATAACTGGGGCTTTACTTTCATGCATTTGCATGAATGAATTTGTCCCTGAAGGAAGAAGGGATGGAAGAAGCCCGGACCTGGTTAGACAAAAAAGATCACAAGCTGAAACCGCTTAGCTATTGACAAGGTGACTTGCTAAATCTTCCCACAGATGATGAAGGCGGCACAGCATCCACCAAGTGTGCCAAAAGCTCAGAAAAGTTGAGT